TTTCTTTTCTTTCTTTCTTTCTTTCTTTCTTTCTTTCTTTCTTTCTTTCTTTCTTTCTTTCTTTCTTTCTTTCTTTCTTTCTTTCTTTCTTTCTCCCTGGCATTTTCTAGCAAGCCAGCTTAGTCTACATGGCAAGTTCCAGGCTAGTGAGGGACCCTGTTGAGGACTGACCCCAAGGTTGTTCTCTGGCCCTCAGTGCTTATGTGCACACATGTGTACTTCCCCTGCCCCCAAACAGGCAGGACATTAAGAGACACACATAGCTCTCACTCAACTCAGGGACACTTTTGGACTGAATGAATAGAGTAGGATTAGGCATTCTGGAAGGAGTGCCCAACAAGTTAGCAAACCACCAACCATCATTTCTTCTCTGTGCAATAATTGGAGTATTTTGAGAGAATACCACAAGAAACTCTTTTATGTTCATGCCTAAAATAGAGCAAGGTGGAGGGTGGGAATCACACTGGAAAAAATAACAAACAAAGACTAACTGATGGTCTTTCATTTGCATCTCCCACGTAACAAGACCTCTGGAAACCTCAAGCCTTGGCTGAGTCTGCAGGCGTCGGCCTCATACTTACTGAGCCGTATAAAAGCCCGTCCGTGTCCATGGCCAAGTACTGGCCAGTCTCCGTACCCTTTATATACACTTCGCCCGCGCTTTCCGCACTCAGCTGCAGCTGAACTGGAATGAAAATAACACGAGCAAAAGTCAACAAACACTTTTGCCAGTCGCCCCGCAGCCAGAACAGTCGGCCATGGAAAATTCTGCTCATTCATTCTGTAGCGGAGGACGAGCCCTTCGGTGAATCCAAACAGTAGTTCCCTTTCCTTTCTGTTCACAAGGAGTGACATTCCTGCGACTAGGAGAGACAGCCCATATGCCCTGTGCATGCCTGCCCAGCTCCTCTGCCCTCTCCCTCTGTCACCTAAGGGGAAATAGTTACAGGGAGAGATGATACTGGTTTCCCTGGTTCCGCTCAGCTAGTACTAGTTCTCGGAGTACTGTAGAACAGGCAGTGGCAACAGTTTTAGCTGTCACCCTGAATAGGGACGCACTTTCAAGGCAGAGAGTGACATGTTGGCGGATCATTAATATTTTAAACCCAGAAACTGTCCTTTTCCTAGAGAGGAGCAAATTCAAGGGAGTCAGGACTCACCCACAGTGAAATTTAGTAAACCCCTCCACTCCCAAGACATCCCAGATGGGGCCCTGACAGAGAGGAAGGAGTTACCCATTTGCCCATAAATGCAGGGACGGGACAAAAGCAATGTTTTCAACTGGGGGTCATTTTCTTCCACAAGGGATGCCTGGAAAAGTCTGTGTCATTGCAGCTGGAGGGGATGGAGAAGGACATTGGCTTTAGTGGGCAGCGGCCAAGCATGTGCAAAATATCCTCCGATGCAGAGAGCACCCTAAAGGGCCTGGGACCCATGCTAAGAAACCTTACGACTGAAGGCAAGGATCCCAAGTCGCTTAAGACACCTATCACCATGTGTTCTGGTTGGTCCTCCCAAGGGGCTTTGGGTAGTGATGGACGTATCTCAGGGGCTAATACCCAATGGATAATTGTTATTTTGCTTGTTGACCTCTGAAGGGAAGTGCGTTAATGGTTATCCTTGGGAGACAGAATTAATGTTGGACTCCTTTGGACAATTTCTTTAGTCTCTAGACTGTCACAACTGTCATTCTGACTTGGCGTGAGATGGCCAAAAGTGAGTACGTCTAGAAAGTAGATTAGCGGTGGCCATGGCCTAGGCAGGGGTCAGGATTATGACAGGAAAATATAGTTAAGAGGTATGTGGAGTTTCACTGCACTTCTCCTCATAATGAAATCAGGACCAGGACGGCAGCCCCATAAACAGGGCTGGGTCGGAGGGCACTGGACTTGACAAATTTCTCTATGGGTCCACTTAGACCCCTCTGTCCCCTCCTTCAGTACGGCGATGGATGTGCAGCTTCAGTGGCTGAGCTCCTGGCCCTCCCTTCGTGCACATAAGCTTCATCCTGGGAGATGGAAGCACACAGAAGGCCACTCCTAGAGATGGCGCATGTGTGCTTTTCTCGAGAGAGCATGTGCGCGACTGCCAACCACATAGACTCCCCTCTGCGACAGAGTTAGTGTTCTCTTCACACAGTTCTCCACCCCTGGTTTTTCTTAACAGCTGTCAGAGATGAAAGAAGTTGCTTTTGGGAGGTTTACATTGCACGTGTGTGTGTGTGTGTGTGTGTGTGTGTGTGTGTGTGTGTACCACTTGTGTGCAGTGCTCGTGGAGGCCAGAAGATAGATTCAGAGCCTCTGGGACTGAATTTACAGACAGTTGTGAGCTGTTATGTGGGTGCTGGGAACTGAAATCAGGTAGGTCCTGTGCGCAGCCAGTGGTCTTAATTGCTGAACCATCTCTCTACCCTCTTGCGTGTTCATTTTGCTAGTTGACTTGGGCTCCATTTTGTAGCTATCTGTACTCTGACCGTTGACCACATCCTGACAGATGTGCTGCTGCTTCCCCTTCCCCTGTGCTTTCCTCATCCTACAATTCACACAGGAGTGACACAGAGTAACATCACCTCTAGAAGATGTTTCTCTCCATCCTCGGAAGTCTGCTGTAGAGACTCAAGACTTCCCCCAACTTCCTGTGGTGAACAGAGACAGTTGAAATTACAGGAAGGGAGCTGGGAGCTATCAACTTCCATTCCTGCTGGGCTCCCTAACTCTGGTCATCTCTGAAAATCTGGTCATGAGAGAGTAGGCCTAAGAACATCTAGGAGCTGCTCTCTCCAGCCTCTCAGAGTAGTCACTTGCTCACTCTGCTATACCTGTGTAACGTTCAGTTCGTGTGTGTGTGTGTGTGTGTGTGTGCGCGCGCGCGCGTGCGTGAAAGTCATTATAGGCTAATGTTGGCAGAAATGGTTCTGCCAAGCCACCCTCAACAAGCTATGGTTTTTGAGTTGTGTTCCCAACACATTCTCTGGAATTAACGAGGCCAAGATAAGAGATATGAGACTTGAGGCTGGACTGTGCCTCCAACTAGTGGGGTGACCCTGGCCAGGCTACTTAATCTGTCTTGGTGGGTGTTAGGTTCCATGTCTATCCAGTTCTCTCCAGATCTACCTGTCTGTGAAGCGGGTGGCTACGTATGACCGTGATGCTCTGGGAACAGAAGGGCATGGTAAAAGAGCACAGCCGCAGTGCATGCTGTGACATAGGGAAGTCTGTGATTGCAGTTGCACGAAAAGCCCAGAATAAGCAAATACGTAAATACAGTGAGGAAATTAGTGGGGCCCAAGGCCTGAACAGGGGCTGGGGTAGATATGCAAGGATCATGGTTAGGAGTCTGGGAGATTCTTTCTTGAAAATCAAAAATAATAGATGGTGAGTTCGAGACCAGCCTGGTCTACAGAGCTAGTTCCAGGACAGGCTCCAAAGCCACAGAGAAACCCTGTCTCGAAAAACCAAAAAAAAAAAAAAAAAAAAAAAAAAATAGAGATGTTCGTACAACCCCATGAAGAAAAGTTGTAAGGGCCATGAGATGGCTTAGTGGTTAAAAACTTCTGCCTTGCAGACTACCAACCTGAGTTCAAGCCCAGGATCCCACGCTAAATTAGGTTTTTTTTTTTTTTTTTTTTTTTTTTTTTTTTTTTTTTTTTTTTTTTTTTTTTTTAGATAGGGCTCCATGTAGCCCAGGCTGGCCTCAAACTTGCTACGTAGCCAAGGATGACCTCAAACTTTCAATCTTCTTGCCTCTGTTGCCCAGCTTCTAGAATTACAGGCTTGCTCCACCAAACTCCCCTCGGAAGGTTTGTTTGTTTGTTTGTTTGTTTGTTTTTAAAGCATTTAACACCTTGGCTCTGTCTCTTGCTGCAGGGCTGGGTGAGGGCAAGTTCTTCCTCACATGGAATCCCAGCCAGGCCTCGGAAAGGTCTCACCAAGGTAAACAAGAGCTGGGGCCTGCCTAGAACGTGACCTCAGACCTCCGCCAGGGCTGGTTGGTGTGCCGGTGAGAGTCGGCTCAGAAGTTTCCTCTCTAAATATTATTTCTCCAGGATGTCCAAGTTTCGTAGCTCATTTTCGCTGGGTTTCTTTCTGGCTGTGTTTCCTACACATGTATTTCTGTGAGCTCGGCTGGCAGGAAGGCACAACGCCCAGCCTACACAGCTCACGTCCCCGACTGGCTGCCCAATTCTCTTGGGGGGGAGGTGGGGTGGAACGGGACTCCATACTAGTTGTGCAGACCTACACCCTCTTAGCTGCTGGCTGTGGGGAACACTCAAAGGAAGAGGAAGTGTGACCTCAGAAAGAGGCAGGAGCTGGCTACACAGCAAGCAGCTTCCATCCTGTAGCAACATGACAGGGAAAAGGGTTGGAAGCCCAGTGTCCCCACCCCCCACCCACCCAGGTGTGCTGAAATCTGTGCTCATTGCCAGAGGGGGTTCATGCATCCAGGACTTACACAGCACTAGGGTGACAGACACACAAACCTATGACTCAGCAGCTCACTAACAAAGGCCCCTTGTTTGAAGGCAAAAGTAGATACAAGAGTAAAAGTACAATTAAATATCACACCTGCTCCACTCCTGTCCCTGTCGCTCTGTTCCTCTCTGTCATCTCCTCACCTCTGCTCTTGTAGAGAAAAGCAGGAGATGGCATCCAGCCGCCAAGGGACTGCAGGGCAGTAAGTAAATCCTTACTGGAAACTTTGTAAGAAGCGTGAGCTCGTGTGTATTGCGCATGAACAGATGTGTGTAAAACTTCCTGGATACCGGTCAGGGGTGTCCAGCAGCTGCCCTGGGGAGCCTTAGAAGGTGGTAGAGGACCGGGAACCCACAGAGAGACGGTCTGATTCATTCTCATGTTCTGTTTCTATAAAATGTTCTGCAACCATCTTTGGGTTCTGGGTTGATGGTGTTTGCTTGTCTTCGGTCTATAGTGTGTGCTTTTGTGCTTTACTACGTACTCGTGAGCTATCACTTTCATCAGAGTCACCATCTCCCACAATTCCTCCTGCCTCCCAGGGCTGGGAATGTTTTAAAGTTCTCTTCCTTGTCAATGGGCAGACCCTCAGAGCTCCCCAAAACCCTCATCCCTTCCCTTTTTTCCTCCCTTCTTCTCTCCCTCCCTTCTTTCCTCCCTCCCTCCCTCCGTCCTTCCTTCTTCTGTCCCTTCTTCCTTCCTCATTGTGTGTATAGGAAGTGTCTGTGGAAGGTTGTATGCGAGCTATGATGTATGTGTGAAGCTTTTGGACAGAGTTCTCTCCTTCCAAAACCTTTACATGGCCTCTCTGAAAAACAGTCTCAGGTTTTAGACTTGCAAGCGGGTGCTTTACCCGCCAAGCTGTCTTGCTGGCTCCAAGACTCAATTCTTGCTCCTGGTGACCTCTGAGGTGGGTCCTTGACTCAGCTCAGGCTTGAACACAAGGATCCATGAGGGGAGCATCCTTCAGACCCAGAACTACTAGAGGTAGGGGTGCAGGATGGGATGGAAGGTCCCAAAAGCCCCGACTTCTCCATATCCGGCACCCTCTACCAGGTGAGCACCCTGAGCAGAGAATAACACCCTCAGTGGGAGGGAGACCCTGATGTCTATGAACAGGAAGAGCAGCAGCCCTGGGCATTCCAAGTTGTTTGTTAATGAAAAACAAAGTCAGTAGCTAGTTGAAGACTCCCTTTAGCCCAGGTCTGAAATG